TAGCACTCTATAGACTGTCCAACTTTTTTGTTTAGATTTCTTGCAAGCTGGTTTTTAAAATTGTTTATTATGTACTAGCATAAAACAATTTCCAAATTTATCATTGTATGGAACAGCTGAGTTGCCGAAGCCCAACTGCTACTCTCTACATACACATATGCACATACATGAATACAAACACATATGCATTAAACGTTTGGGTAGACACCTGTGTCATAGGGAATAAGTAAGATGCTTGTAACACTGACTCTGCAGAGAAGAACTGAATTTGACAGCGGTTTTTATTTAAATCTTTTGTTCAACCCAAGTAATAAATGAAAATAAACAAAGTTCTGCCAAGCTAAACATTGCTAAAAATGTGTGGTAGTGGAGTCTCTCACACACTACAGACAGAAAGCAGGAAAATGATTTGGAATTATCCTTTAAATCTCAGTGGTCAGGAATTCTAGTCAATGGCATATGGATCTGGCAAAGATGTGCCATGAGTCACGTTTAAGAATTTCAATGTCACAGATTCTTGTTCACAGAATCCAGAGCAGATGAAGCCCAGGATTCTCTTAACTGGCACACAAAAGAGAAAATGAATGACTTTTAGCTGTCTGTAAGGGAAAAATGAATTTAAATAACACTGAGGTGGAAAGGAAAGATTGGTTCATGGATTTCAAATAGCAGCACGAAATTCAGCCATGCATTCACTGTACTGCACCCACAGTAAAGCTGGGATGTCACAGAGTGGAAACTTAAAAACCCAGGTCACAATGCTGGTCCCCATCGGTGAGGAAAGAAGATGCCAGTGAGAAAAGAAACAAGAGGCTTCAACAGCTTGTGTGATGTGGCAGCATTTTGTGTACAAACTGGGTAGTGAGTCCAGAGTTTGATTGTGTGTTCATGTAAGCATATGTAAATGCTGCATATTGCTTATGAAATAAGTATTTTAAAAGGCTAAACTTTGTAGTGCTTGTCAAAGAGAGAACGAATGAACTGGGTATGAGGAAGATGGGCTGGGTAGGGAGAAACGTGGAGTAGAATTAGATCACTTCTATACACCTCCGTTTGTACAGACTGAGAGAGAGCTGACTACCAGATGGCAGATTACCACCCCGCTGGGCCTTCTTCCGAATGTCTTTCAGAGCGCAAGGTGAGAAAAATAAGGTCTGTGTTCATGAAAAAAAATACAGTATGAAAAGAGGGAACAATTCAAAATTGACCAAGGATTACTGATGGGATCCCTACAGGTGTCATACAGGGAAGTGAACCCCGTGAGGAGGTAAGAATGAGAACCTGGTGCAGACTGACTTCGTCAACCTGGATCAGACTTCGGAGAGTCTAATAACAGGTGGTTTATTCCCAGTGTATTTAAACCCAGTAAATCTGAAAAAAAGTTTCCTGGTGAGATACAATCCCTGGTTCACATGGAAGCATAATTACAAAGAAACAACTAAGGGTACATGTAACTTCTTCCAAGAAGATAGGTTCTAGAGATAGGCTGCCTGCACTAGCTTAAGGACCTAAGGGTCTGGCCTGGTTTCAGTCATAGGGAGCAGCATAGAGGTCTTTGGGGGCTATTAGCCGCCTCTGTTCCTGGTTGTGGGGGCTTGGGGGAGCCTCTGGCTATCAGGATCATTGAGATCACTGGTCACCTACAGTCTTGATTGTAAGAGCATGATATGACCTGGCCTAACAAATAACACAGGTCACCAGGCTGTTAATCATGTCTGCTAATTCTTAGCTTTATGCATGGAAAAAAATGTTTTTTCATCTTTTTCATTGGAAAGACAATGCTGTGTCCTTAACATTCCTGGTTTCTCTGGAGATCTGTGGACACAAGGACATTCGTGCTGTGCGCCTGACATATTACTACTACAAGCCTGAAAGAACAATATAGGTCAATTAACATCCATTATTTCCCTTAGAGACTAGGTTTACAACTGGGCTTTGTGAAATCCAAGGTCAGATTGCCTCAGTGTTCAGGGAACTACTCTAGGGCAGCAGACATGAAGAGGCAGTTTTGAGTGTTTGGTCATCTTACACTGTCATTGAAAAGCTTGATGTCTTTGCTATTCCTTATAAAAAATATATTACTGCAAATTTCAACATCCTTTTCCCCTCCAGCTTTAACCTGCTCTTTCCTTTGTATCCTATGACTGCAATGCCACAGTATATCACACCAAAAATCCAGAGATGTGGGTATTGTCTAATCCTTTGGTCTGCCATTCAGATACCCAACTTGACTGGTCACTAGAACTCATGGGCATTCTTACCACTTAACTATCTGCTTGGTCTGACTTTGTGGTCTACTTCACTGCTCCATGCATGGCTATGTAACTTCTCTTCACACCAACTCTCAACATCAGACATTTCATCAAAAACTGCAATTGATTTACCAGGAAGTGTCGGCGAGAAAAATCAGGCCTTCACCCCTGTGTCTGGATGCATCCACCTTAGAGTGTAGCTTGTGTTTCACTTTCTAACCTCTTTCCTTCCTCCTTCACTTTTTTATTGATTTTGGACATACTCATCCTCTAATATTAACCAAAGGAAAAGGGATGTCACAGCAGTAAACAGCAATGTATATGTTTTATTTGGTGAAGCGTGTTTCTCCTTGGAGGCTGATTGACTGATTCTGTGTCAAGGAAAAGGTTGCCCCTGATTCTGCAGAGTCCTTGGAATGGATCAAGGCAGTGAGCAGCTCAGTAAATTCTGCCTTGATGATTAATAATAGATGAGGAAGCCTGCTGAATTAGAAACCAGTTCTGGGGGTAGGTTATAATGTAAAACCAGTCTGTTTGTGGCACACTTGTTATTTTTCTTCCCAGGGTTTGTAAACACCCCGCAGACAGTGAACATTTTCTTGGAGAACATCTCACCAAAAGCTTGTGGGGGTGCTGGGCCACTTTAGGGAGAACATTTTGAATGTAAGGTATGAAGGAATATGCATTCAGAGACCAAGTAAGACACTGGAAAAGCCTAAGATACAGAGTGCAGCCTATCTCCAACTTGCCACATTTCTGGCTATCTGAGAAGGTCACCCTGGAAGGGACATGATTGTTGCTGTCTTTAACTGCTTATGTTAGCGGCAGGCACTTTGTTTTCTGAAGCTTAGGCCCTGATGGGAATTTTTACTGCACTTCAATTTGAAAAAAAATGTTTCTGAGTTAACTTTTTCATTGAATCTTTTAAGTGTTCTAGGAAACCATGTCATACAGTTAAAATTTTTGCAGTATTGTTCATACTGCAAGTTGGCAAGATGGATGTCCAGATCCAAGCACTTAACACACAAGCCTGGTGACTGAGAATAATTCCTGGAGCCCATGTAGAGGTGGAAGGAGAGAATTCACACCACAGATTTGTCCTCTGACCTCCATATGTGTGCAGTGACACACACACACACACACACACACACACACACACCCCATTCATACTGCTACTAATAATAATGACAACAAACACAAAAGTATAAAAAAGTTTGATATTTTAAAAAGCATAATAAAGAATGCAAGGAAGCCAAGGAATTCTGAATGATAATGTAATCCCTGAAGTAATCAGACATTTTATGTATAGAGATAAAAGTGAAAAGTCTCAAATGGCCTCTGAATCTATAAACTTAGACACCACAGTGAATTATTTTTTGTCACAGATAAACTTAGACCTCAAGACATTTCTGGCAAACAGGAAAATGAGATGCTTGATTCTCAGTTGATTTGAACCCCAAAGCCTCAGCACCATCAATAGAACCTAGCTGGCCACATCTGAAACTTTTGCACTTGCTGGATATCATAACATTGGCCGTTCCTGATCTAAAACTGCAAAATCTATGAGGGTCCAAAATCCAAGACTTCCCAAGTGCCAACAAGGCTTCAGAAATGAAAACTCTGCACCTGCTTTCCTGTGACAGATTGCAGTGGGAATGCAGACAGACCAGAAATAGTGTGTAAATGACCTTCAAGAGACAAATATAAATGAATTTCATGTTGAGACTTGGATCCTGTCCCAAAGTTATCTCACATGTGTTCAAATATTTCAAAATAAAATCCCCAATCCAAGCCAACTCCGGCACCAAGCATTTTGAACATGGGGTACTCGGTGTGCACTAAGAAAGCCTCATTGCCTTTAGGAAGAAGAGCAAAAATGAGGTCAGCAAGAAAAGCAGTTCAGGGGGCAGTGAAGGAAGCATCTACAGCTCTAGATACCCATACTTTAATGCTGACACGCATCCATAGATGGCCCTGGGGCTTTGAGCCTCCAAACCCTTTACCTGATCCCTAGATGACACTCAGAGAATTCAAGTGTGCACACAGAAACACAGTTCTTGTTCAAATCTCTGTGAACCTGTCGGTTTTAAGCTTCAAGAACCTTGTATCTGACCCAACAGTTGCATTCTGTAATAAATAGAGTCAGTAAGGACCAAGCAGCAACAATAGAAACCCCCCGTCTGTATGGTAAGTCAGAGTCCCATCAATAGAAACCCCCGTCTGTATGTAAGTCAGAGTCCCATCAATAGAAACCCCCGTCTGTATGGTAAGTCAGAGTCCCATCAATAGAAACCCCCGTCTGTATGGTAAGTCAGAGTCCCATCAATAGAAACCCCAGTCTGTATGGTAAGTCAGAGTCCCATCAATAGAAACCCCCGTCTGTATGGTAAGTCAGAGTCCCATCAATAGAAACCCCCGTCTGTATGGTAAGTCAGAGTCCCATCAATAGAAACCCCCGTCTGTATGGTAAGTCAGAGTCCCTCCGTCTGTATGGTAAGTCAGAGTCCCTCCGTCTGTATGGTAAGTCAGAGTCCCTCCGTCTGTATGGTAAGTCAGAGTCCCTCCGTCTGTATGGTAAGTCAGAGTCCCGCCCGGGGCACAACCCCAGTGGACTGTGACCCACTCAGCATACCATTCTTTTTTTGTTTTGTTTTGTTTTTGGTTTTTACGAGACAGGGTTTCTCTGTATTGTTTTGGAGGCTGTCGGTCCAGCCCAGCCTCGAACTCACAGAGATCCACCTGCCTCTGCCTCCCGAGTGCTGGGATTAAAGGCGTGTGCCACCACCGCCCGGCTCGGCATACCATTCTAATGGTGACTGACATCTATGACACCTGTCCCCAGAATCAGTGAAATGGGAAGAGTATGGAAGGGCAGGGGTGAGAAATTTTTGCGCCAAGATAAGATATAACCAACGTCATCTCTGCTCAGCGGCTACAGTTTAATCCCTGTCCACCCGAAGTATGAGGGAGATTGGGAAATGAACTCTGGCCAAGCACTAGGTAGGAGGGCATTTTGCTCTTCGTAAATAGCTCTCAGACTCTGCTCCAGTGTAAAGAAAAAAAAGCCATCAGAACCCTACTGGGTACAGCACCTGTCTTAGTTACATGGCTGCTATTGTACTAACACTGTCCAGAGACATTTGGGGGGAGGAAAGGACTTACTTGATTTACATGTCATGATCACAGTCCATCGCGGAGGGAAGGCACAGCAGGAACTCATGCAAGGCAGAAATTGAAGCCATGGAGGAACACTATTTACTGCCTTGCTCCTCGGTTTACTTCCTTGTATACAAAGGCCCACCTGTGCAGGGATGACACAGCCTAGGGTGGACTGGGTCCTCCCACATCCATCATCAAACAAGAAAAGGCCCACACACTTGCCTGCAGGCCAAGATGATAGGGTCACTTTCTCAACTGAGGTTCGTCTCTCTTCCAAGTTGATCCCAGCTTGTATCGAGTTGACAGAAGAAACTAGGTATCACAATACCCACCAGGAAGAAAATACTCTTTCTTGCTCTTTTTTCCCCGTTAAAACTAGATCTCCTCTACCCTCCTCTTCTCCCATTCTCTTTTCCCGGGCTCCCTCTCCCCTCCCCCAAGCTCCCAATCTGCTCAGGAGATCTTGCCTCACTCCCTTTCCCTGGGACACCATGCATATCTCTCTAAGGGTCCCACCTGTTTCCCAGACCCCCTGGCAGTGGGATTGTAGAAGGGAGAGGAGGACATGGGGGAACATAAAGGTTGAGTCAAGGGAAGAATAGAGGAGAGCAGGATGAGAGATACCACAATAGCGGGAGTCATTATAGGTTTCAAGAGAGATCTGGCACTAGTGAGATTTCCAGAGATCTTCAAAGATGACACCAACTGACAATCTAAGCAATAGTGGAGAGACTACCTTAAATGCCCCTCCCTGATAGTGAGTTTAACTACTTCCTTATATGCCATTCTAGAACCTTCAACCAAAGACTGATGAAAGCAGAGGCAGACACCCACAGCTAAACACTGAACTCAACTCCTGGAACCCAGTGACAGACGGAGAACTGATGAGCAAAGGTCAAACAAGACTGGGCTGGTTTAACCCACAGAAACAGCTGACCTGAACAAGGAGGAGCTCTTGGACTCGAGACTGATGAATAGGAGGCCCGCATGGGACTGATCCAGACCCCCTGAATGTAGGTATCAGTGAGGAGGCCTAGGTAATCTATGGGGTCTTGGGAAGTAGATCAGTATTTATCCCTGGCATACAAATAGACTTTGGGTGCCCATCCCACAATGAGGGATGTTCTCTCATCCTGGACTCTTGGGGGAGGGCCTAGGCCCTGCCCTGAACGAAATGACAGACTCTGAATATCTTCCATGGAGAGCTTCACCCTCCCTGGGGAACGGAGTGAGGATTGGGTGGGGTCTTGGGGTTGGGGGGATGAGAGGAGGAGAGGGAGATGGAGCTGGGATTGACATGTGAAACAAGCTTGCTTCTAATTTAAATTTAAAAATCTTTAAAAAAATAGATCTCAGTATATATAGCCCATGCCAGTATGAAGTTGCTATAGAGCTCACAGTAGCTATGTAGCCCAGACTGACCTACAGTGACCCTCCTGTCTCAGCCTCTAAAACGATGGCGTCACAGTTGTATACAATGCCTGCTTCACTCTGCCATCCATGCCACATCCCCTGTTTTTAAAACCTTAGGTAATATTCATCTCCTGAGGTAAAAATAGCTAGACTTGGATGAGCCGCGGTGTAGAACATTGGGTCCTGTCGGCACTTAGGAACCCTCTGGTTCCCTCCCATTCCCACCTGTGAGATACACACCTGTTTCTGTTTGAAGCATGAGCACAGACGAAATTCAGCTTCTGCCTTCCGGGAATGTGCAGTTAGGTTGCCAGGAAGGAAAAGGACTCAATATCACCATGATCCAGCAAAGGGAAAACGAGGCCAAGATCGTGCAGCTAAACATCCTCTCATCACTGGATGGAAGCAACACGCTCTCCTGAGATGTCCTGATTCACCACACAGTGTTACAGCTGTAAAGAGAAGACATAGATGGATATATATATATATACATATATATGTATGTATATGTATATATATATCAGAAAACAACTTATTAATTCTATAAGCAGTAATTTTAGATTTTTTTAATCTCCTGAATAGAAGGCTTGGCAGTCTGACATTTTAGCTCTCTTGTCTAGGTTTTTCTCTTTGAGAATGACGAAGAGTGAAGACATTAAATTCTATTTCCATTCCCCTTCCATCTTCTTTCATAAAGTAATAAAATCGAAAGCCAGAATTACCTCGGTTAAAGAAGGTCCCATGATGAGCACCAGAGCCGTGGCTAGCTAGCAATTATTTAATCAAAGCATTACTGAGATCCATCTGTAACCTTGAAGGAGGTTTCCTTCCAGCTTCTGTTGTGTTGAAATGCAGTATAGAACCCTGCATGAAAGCGGGAATTCTCCAAATTTAATAAAAGGAAATGTGAAAGGCCATTTTCTTCAAATGCCCCTAGCTGGCCATCTACCCTAATCACATACAGGCCTCAAAATTGTTTTCTACTGACAATAATGCGATCTATAAAGAGTATTACTGTGGAGTGATTTGAGAGACCACAGCGCATTGGGATCGTTTGCCATTGTGGCGCTGAGCCCACCTGGATGGGAATACAAAAGTCAGAGAAATAAAGAGAGATGGGCACTGGTTGTGTGCCTACCTCTGTATCTTAGCAGGCATGGCTTGTAAATCATCCCCAAGGGCAAAGGACAACTCATTAGCTATGGATTTTCTGGCCCTGAGGGCAATAAGACACGGCATAGAAGGAAACACAATTATGAATCAGCAAAGTAGGATTTTAAAATGCAGGTTGCTTGAAGCTGTCACTCTGTCATGGGTCTCTACTGTGCTGCCCTTCAATTCCACAGAGAGTTAGAAACTGGTTAACTGAGGCACTAAGGGATGGGGCAGAATGAAGAGAAGCCTTGCTAGAGTATCTGCAAGGGCGTTGGAGGGCGCAGGAGGCCCCTTTCACCTTGCAACCTTGTCTTCACACAGCGGGTCAGGAAACACAGAGGCAGTCTCCCTGTTGTGCTATAAACCCAGAACCCTGGAGGCTGAAGCAAGATGATCACAAGTTCAAGGTCACATGTAGGGGACCTTTTCTCAAAGAAGAGAAAAATAATAATGTGAGATGGGGAGAGGCCGAGCCTTGAATGAAAAGATCTAGATTCAGAACACAGATCTTCCTCTCTTACTCAGATAGCACTCAGGAATGTGAAATGAAATGTCTCTTTGAGCCCCAGACTACTCAGCTGAGAAGCAAGAATTATAAAATATAGCCTTCAAGATTACCGTTTGCAGGGTTGAGATGTCATTGAAAGAGCTTTGAAAGTGGCAAGCTGCTATATAGTATTGAGTGATATTTAAGAACACAAAAGAAACTACACAAAGATATTAATATTAGATCCCCATTTCTTCAGCAAGAAAAACACATTTTTTAGAACAATTTGGGAAAAATAAGCAAGCTGACAAGAAACACAAAATCCTATAGTAACAGGAGGACTCCCCATTTATTGATGTATGCTGACATTTTCAAAGTGCATTGCTTAAACATCCTTGTTTAAGGACTGCTTAAACTGACTGTGTGTGCTATTGTTTAGATCCTGAATGGTCCCTATGATGGCCTCTTCTGATTGTCAACTTATCACATCTAGAATTAACCAAAACCCAAGTGCCTGGGTAAACCAGTGAGGGATTTTTTTTCTTAATCAAATAATTTGAAGTGGGAAGACAAACTTTTAATAAGGATCTTTTGAGGTAGGGAGATCCCCTTCAGTCTTTGCCACACATGCTGTCAGCGGACATACAGGAAGTGGAATAAGGGAGCATTTGCTAGATTTTCTTGCTTGTTTTTGCTCTCATTGTCAAGTTCATTCTTTCACTGACATTTAAGCATACTTCTTTAGGACTCTGAATACACTGAAGACAGCTGAGCAGACAGCCTCAAGGACTGAACAACTACTGGATTCTTGGACTTCCTTTGATAGCCGTTATTGGGTTATCTGAACTACAGCCTATAAACCATTATAAGAAATCGTGTGTGTGTGTGTGTGTGTGTGTGTGTGTGTGTGTGTGTGTGTACACTGTATGTGTGTGTACACATACATGACTTTTGGAATAATGAATGACTTTGGCAGAGGAGATTCCAAGACAGCCCAGTATTGACTCTGCCATGTGATTATTAGCTTTCACTCTTACACATATCTATAATGAAAAAGACAAAGCTTAGCAAAGAGAAGTACAAAATATATAGTTTGAGGAGAAAAGGAGCACCTCACCTGGAAGTGTAAAGAAGCTAAATCTAGTGCCCAAGGAGATTAAATGTTTAAAGAAATCTGGTGGTGCAAAATGGAGAAAAGGGAGTGGTAACCTCAGAACAAGGCCACATCCAGCTAAGCTTCCAACTTATGAAAAGGAATTAGAGAAAATCTGAAGCAGTGAAGGAAACCATGGACAACAGAAAGCTGATAGAAATGTAATTGAAGGAGGGGCAAAGTTCCAGCATCACTAAGCAGAAGAACTTAACAATTTCAGCCACATGGCTCTGGCTTTAGAGTCAAGATATAGAAAGCGTTGTGGAATGCCCCCTCTTTGGCTAAGGAAACCCACTGAGGCCAGATGTATGGCAGGGGAGGCCCTGCATGGAGGCCCAGAAAGGCTACCGAATGAAGCTATTAAAGTGAAGCTTGGATTGTACTAGAGACCCCCAGATATTGGAGATGCCAGAGTCATAGCCTGTCTGCCAAGGATGTGGAACTAACCCCCACAGAGAGAAGTGTGCTGCAATCAACAAAGCTGAAAGGAGTTAGCGATCTGGAGAGCATTTTGACACTGGACATGGGGATGCAGAATTGGAGTTTGCACTATTAGGTTTTGCTCTTACTTCAATCCAGTATTTACTCACTATGCTCCCTTTCCTCCCTTTTGGAATGGTAATATATATATTCTGTGCCATCATATGTTGGAAGTATGTGATCTGCTTTTTAAATTTTATTTTATGGGGGTTACAGTTAAGAGATTGCCATGAGTCTCAGAAAAGACTGTTTTCCTTTTCTTTAATTTAAATTAGAAACAAGTTTGTTTTACATGTCAATCCCAGTTCCCTCTCCCTCCCCTCCTCTCTTGCCACCACCAACCTCCTATCCCAAATCCTTTCTGCTCCCCAGGGAGGGTGAGGCCTTCCACAGGGGATCTTCAAAATCTGTCATATCACTTGGAGCAGGGCCTAGACCTTCCCCCATGTGTCTAGGCTGAAAGGATATTCCTCTATGTGGAATGAGCTCCCAAAGTCCATTCGTGCACTAGGGATAAATACCTATCCACTACCAGAGGCGCCTCAGATAAACCAGACCTCCAAACTGACATCCACATTCAGGGGGTCTGGAACAGTCCTATGTTGATTCCACAGCTGTCAGTCTTGGGTCCATGAGCTCCCCCTTGTTCAGCTGTTTCTGTGGGTTTCACCAGCCTGGTCTTGACCCCTTTACTCATCACTCCTCCCTCTCTGCAACTGGATTCCAGGAGTTCCACTCCATGCTTAGCTGTGGATCTCTGCCTCTGCTTCCATCAGCTACCGGATGAAGGCTCTAGGATGGCATATAAAGTAGTCATCAATTTCATTATTGGAGAAGGATATTTAAGGTAGCCTCTTCTTATTTAGATTATTTAGCACCACCATGTCATATGCAAAAGATGAAAGTCAGAGAGTATTCAAGGTAACTCAATAGACAAAGTAATCTGCTGCTCCCAAAGATTAGTGATATAATGTTGGAGCAAAGAAGTATAACATATTAGCTCTTTTATCCTCAAATACATATTTTAATAGAAAAGAATTCACTGTACTACTTCATTTGAATTATGTATATTGTTGCATATGTTGGTTTTAATTCCTTAGAAGACAGAAGTTAATAGGAGGTCTTAAGGTCATCCTGGGCTCATAGAGATACTTTGGTTCAAAACAACAACATTCCCAAAATTGTTTTGAGCGCTTCATTTACTTCATTTATCGACATTATGCAATTGTTCACATTATTCATTACATTGCCCTGGGATCTGCTCGGCTTAGACACCTGACTGTTTCACCAAATTAGCATAAAACTAATTTTAGCAAAAAGCTCTGTGACCTTCCCTGTTTGGTTGCCTTTGTGGCTGGTTTGCACTTACCTTCTTAGCTAATTCTCAGTTAAATGCACTACTCAGTTCTGGGTTCACTGGGATTTGAGAACACTGTCTCCTTCAAAAGGGAAGATTTTCAGCTAATTCGGAAAGTCCTCACCCCTCTGCACCCTAATTCTGAATATTTAGGGGCATCAGAAGGCATTTTGTGTCTGACAAATGCAGAGCAGAGGGAACACGGGAGTTGTCTGTTTCTTTGAACATCTATCTCTTTGTCACTGAGGGTTAATCCTTATACTAGCCTTTTTCTGACAAAAAAAATGTTAGTCCATTTATGAGTTTCTATTTCTCTTTTCAGCATCGGGAAAAATTAGATTAGAAATTAGGAGTCAGTGTATCCCAAGGGAGCATTCCCAGACTTTGTGAGCAGCAACACCTGACAGATTGCTGAGGGAAATGTTCTACAGGAGGTCGTCAGCTCTGCCCTTAATAGACAGGAGCCAGGAAAGGTTTGAATTCTGATGGGGGAAGTCCTTCTGTATATGTTTGTCTTGTTGGTTGATAAATAAAACACTGTTGGCCAATAGGGAAGAAAGATAGGTGGGACTAGGAGTTGAGGAGGCTTCTGGGAAATGTAGTTAAGAAGAGAGTCACCATGTGATCCCTGGAAGAGAGGACTCAGCCTCATGTGTCCTCAGTAATGTAAGTCTTTATAGAAATATATATATTTATTTATATATATGTAGTCATAGCTTAATACTTAAGACAAACCTAGCCAATGAGAAGCCCTGGACACTGTCCTACAGCATTGTAACTAATAGAGTCTCTGTGTGTTATTTGGGGTTGACACGTCTCTGGGACCGGGCTGGTGGGAAGAATGCTCGTTACAGAATTCTGACTGTATTACTTCTCCATAGCTATGGCAGAGCAGCTGACAGACACAACTTAAAGAGGGAATAGTTCACTTTGGCTCACGGCTTGGGGTTACAGTCATTGTGGGGGGGGGGGGGTGAAGGTATAGTGTCAGGAGTGTCAAGCAGCTGCTCGTATTACTCTCACAGTCAGGAAGCAGAGGGGGAAAATGCTGGCGCCCAGTCCTCCTCCCTTTTACTCAGTTCATGTCCCCATCTCCTTATAGAGTGCTATCCACAATTAGGGTGGGACTTCTCTCAGTTAAGGAAACACCTTCATAGACATACCTGGAGGCGAGTTTCCACTGAACTCTAAGTCTTTGACAACAAAGATTCTCACATTGAGCCACCGTTAAGTGGGTGAGACCAGAATTTGT